GTATCGTACATAACCTACTCGTACGACAACCATCTTGTGGGAAGCCATTTCGATGATACGGCATGTCGTACCGTGCACTTGCTGTACCGGCTAGTTTGCTCATAATTGAAGTTCAAAGCACTCTTTGTGCACGCGCACCGATATAACGTCATTTATAGCATTTTTCATTAGTGATCCCACCTTATATAAAATTGAAACAGCAAAAGGTGAAAAAATCATATTTTCCTTTTTAAACTTATCTTGAAAGTTATATATAATTTGTATTTTAATCTAGCAAATATTCCTAAGGATTTTTGTTAATGTTTTTCTATCGTTTGTTATTAAAATAATTTTCCCTGAAAAACTCGAATTTTTGCGCTTCAGCGGCCATGTTTGTTTTCTTGGACAGTTTGCGCATGCGCGTATGTTTTTTTTTTTTTGAGACATACTCTGAACCTGGTAAGCCTGTGGTTTTATATATCTCACTTTTTACCCAAAATTCTTTGGTAGCGCTTCTAAATCCAGACTGTGGCTCATTCCCACTCGGACAAGGTATTGGTATATCAGGCATTGGATAGAACTCTTTAACTTGGGCGTAAATGTTTTTCCATTTCAAACCACGTTTCATTCCCTATAGAGTATAATTTCTTTGTTTAATGGTTGCACATGAGAAGACACATGAATATGGATACAACTCAAACAAAGAATCTTGTCATCAAGAGAATGAAACTTGGTCTAAAAGGGGAGAGCTTTGCGCCCAGGGCAAAGAAGTTTGTATTCTACGAAGTATGATAAGATATACCGCTCAATGCAAATGCATTGAATTTCCTATACTATCTGATGTTAAAGTAACACAGAGCTTATCCGATGCTCTTTGTCGTACGCACTGTTCCAAATATGGTAAGAAGAATCCCAGTGCGCCCTCGTCCGGCATAAGCGACMGAAACTCCTGGGGACTGGTGAGCTGAGCCAGCTTAGAGAGTACGCCTGTAAGGAAAGTAAATGAGATAATCTGTAATGTATGGTCGGTGTGGAGAGGTTAATAGGGACCTTAAGCTGCAGGACGGTAACGACGACGACGACGGCAAACATACAATAGCACTAATTGCGCTATTCAATAGATACTCGTTGGAATGTACGAAATACTATGCATCATTGCCGTCTTATACTGAAAGTAAGACGTGAAATGTCCTATTTTTACGTACTAAAGAGAACGGCTACGCCAAAAGCTTATCTTTGCTGATTTTCGTTATAAGAAAAGCGTTCCCAAAAGACGTCATTTCACTCTAAAACGGGGATTCTTATTGAGTAAAATACTAGGTAAACACGAAATAATAATACAATAGAAGGTTGAAGCGCATCAATTTCGCCGACGTTGTCGCCCACGTTGCCGTCCTGCAGCTTAAGGTCCCTAATAACTCTTACAACGAAGGACTAGCGTCCGAATTCACGGTGTATAATTTACCCTTTTATCATTAACAACTCTTAGTGATTATAGAGTGGACGTTGTGGAGAGGTTATTGAACTCATAGTGAAGATTGGCATATATGCGCACAGGCCGCTGATGATCGGTACTATGAATAGGTGAAGGTTAGAGGGTGGTTGGTGGTGGTCGGATTGAAAGGTTGCCTCTGTTGGTCTCTGAGGAGCTTTGCAAGCAACGAAGCAGCAGTCGGCACCTAAAGATTGGCTTCCACTGATTGATCGGTATAAAGGTTAGATAGTGGTTAATAATGGTCGCATTTAAAGGTCTCCTATGCTGATCTTTTAGATAGCTATTGCAACAATGGTCGTATACTACCAATGATCGGTATAAAAAGTTGATGGTTGGCGGGTGGTCGAATTCTAAAAGCTACTTATCAAGTGTTTTAGGGGTGTAATTGGCGATGGTCGGTCTCTAAGGGTTGGCTACTCAATGTATGGGCCAGTGATGGTCGGAATAAAGAGATGTTCTTACCCTTAAGTGCATCCAGTAATGCATCTCTTGATGGTTTGGCTTCAGCATCGTCACTTAGTTGTGGGAGTTCAAACTTTTGAAGTAAATCATTGAGCAAATGAGACCACTGAAATATAGAAACAATAGGCTGATTAAGATTCCCGTTTTCCCTTCCCGCAAACGGCAAACGTGACCACGTTTTCATCGTTTCCCTACATTTCACTTTACCTTTTGCAAACCTTCTCAACAAAGACAAGTATTCTTTTGTTTATCTACTACTTGGAGATTTTTGCTATTCCTTTTCACTAATTTTAAATAACTTTTTAATGGTCAACTGACGTTTCACGTTTGCCGTAAACGAGAATCTTAAACTCTCTAATATGTTAGCACCTTACGACAACAGTAGTTCTCTTTACCTTGGGCGTAATGTTTACCTATTTCAGACCACATGCTATTTCCTAGAGTATCATTTCACACTCTCGTACCCAGAGCCTGCGCTTCTTCAGACCAGGATTTCTTGGACTTCCGGCATAACAGCGCATGCGTTCAAAGACTTGCCAAAAATATAAAAAAAACGTTTCCGATTTCTAATTTTTATTCTGATCTGAAATAAACAGAACTCTGTTTGAAAGCATGATTTTTATTGATTATATTTCACTTCCGGAAAATTGCGCATGCGCCAAAATATGGACTACGCCAGAGCTCTAGTTTTTCGCCGCAATCCAGATTACACCCAGTTTAAAGGCTCTTTAACTATAATGGACAGCTGGATAGCTGAGTAGTTTGCCATGTTATTTCTTCACATGCAACAATCGTAAGAAGAAATCAAGGCCAATAGAGGTTTTGCACCAACACGTGCTCATAATGCAGCTTGGACTGCCTGTGGTTAGATGGCAGAATAATAAAATCTCTTTTCTCTCGGAAATTGAGAAACTCGGAAATTCTTTCTCATGTAAAACGATTGTATTGTTCCTGGCATCTAACATGGCTGCCGTCACGTGATGGTGCAAAACCTTTTAAGTCACGCAAAACTCTTTTCAATTCTTAAATACCTTATCGACGTCAGCTTTGAAGAACAATTCCCCAAAGGGGATCATTACATCCGGGCAATTTTCTAGAATAAGAGCTGTTGCCTACGAGAAGAAAAGTTTGTGATTTAGCGTGATACGTGACAAAAATGTAATGGTGAAAAGGGTAGCAATTAATAGTGAAGAAGGGGGGCATAATTCGGCTTCCAAAGCTCCGAGCGACGTTATAAAATATGTCCAATAAGGCCCCGTCCACACGTATCCGGAAATTTTTGTATCCGCAAATTATTTTTTGCGGATACGAAAATGTTTGCGTCCACACGCAGCGTATTCGAATCGTTTTCACCGTCCACACGTATCCGTTTTCGTAGAATTTCCGGATACGGTCACAAAATTTTGCGGACACGTGTGGACGCAACCCCTATCCGTAAAAAAAAAAAATTGCGGATACAAAAATTTCCGGATACGTGTGGACGGGGCCTAAGACATGTGTGTGAAGTTAGTTTATACTGCTCCGTGCTAATTAATTATTCAGTGAGAAACAAGGTTTTGCACCACCACGTGACGRCAGCCATGTTAGATAGCAGGAACAATACAGTCGTTTTACATGAGAAAGAATTCAATTCCTAAGAGCAAAGGGATTTTATTGTTCTGCCATCTAACCACAGGCAGTCCAAGCTGTATTATGGGATGGGCACATGATGGTGCAAAACTTCTATAGTATTTGTGAATCTTTTAACGCTGAAATAAGGCTAACCCTGAGTAGATGAGTCTGCAATCGACTGAAACAGCGGTATTTGACTTATTCGAAAAAGGTCTGTTCCATGAGTGAGTTTTACATACTTGTCTAAACTTCTCTACTCTTGGATAACACAGTAACAGGATGGAAAGATCTCCTTTGAACTTCTTTTCTTGAATCTTGGCGAGAATGGAGTCGCATAAGAGACTTGACGTAAAATTAGAGCACAGCAAAGCCTTTAAAAATATAAATTTATTTACTTCATTTAATTCCATTGAAAAAAATCCAACCCC